TCCAAGGCTTAACGTGCGTAAGGGCTACCTAAACCGTACCTGGACCCCAAAAGTATGTAAAATAATAGCCGTTTACATGTTTTGGGCCATTATTTTATCTACTTTGGGGGGTCTGGCCCTAAACACTGTTTCGGTACAACCGCAAATCTTCGCGATCTTCCCTTGATCGGAAAACCTGACTTATGGGTCTAGGGTTTAGCCTTTAGGGTTTAGGGTTTAGGGTCAACAGGTAGCAGGTGCTGATTGATATCCTGGACTGCGACGCTCAAACTTGAGCCTGAGCTCCAGCCTTCATGTGTCCGAATCTTCCCAAACGAGCGGCTTAGCTGCAGCATTCGGTTTTGTTTCTTCGTGAACCGGAGCGATGGTCAGGGTGCCCAAACTGCAGCTGTGGTGCCTAGGGGCCCGGAGCTTAAAGCCCCAAGTCACGGAATCAAAGTTGTGCCGACATCCCCGGAAGGGTTTAGCACTTAAGGTTTAGGGTTACCGGTATCTGGCAGTTAGCGGCCCTAAGCCATCATCCAGCAAGGAAGTAGAACTTCATGTACAGCATCCCGACAGAGCCTCAGCGACTCCTCCCCAAGCTCTTTCTCGTATCTCCAGCATTCCTTAAACACTATAAGGGTACTGTCAGCGTTCTGTACGGGCTTAGGGTTCCTATAAGACGTTCTACCGGGCTCCCTTCGAGGGTTCCCCTGAAACCTGACACCTACAGCCCTGAACCCTAAATCCTAAGCGCGAAAATCTCAAACCCTGACCGTTAAATCTCGCTTTCCTAACCCGAACCCCGAATCCTGATTTCACAGCCCTCCCCCCTGCATCAGAAAATCGGAACTCTAAGAAATCCTAAACCTTGTTCTCATCCCTACTATGCGCCTCAGTGCTCTGAGCCCTACCATCTCCACCCTCAAGTGCACGAAGGCAATTCGGCTACTAACCCTGGCGAACTCGCTGGGTAAGGCAGGCTTCGCAGATTCGGAGGTTCTTGTGTAGACGGATCAAAACAGAGTCTTCTGTAACGTGTATGTGTTTTTGCAGCCTTTTGTTTAATGAGGGTGGTTTCGGAAAATTAAGGCTCTCTTTGTTTGAGGGTACGAGTCAGAGTTTGCATTCCTGTTTTGTATTTGTCTCAACCTGCCAGTTGGGCGAGGGAGGTGGAGAGATGTAGAGAGTCCGGGGGTTTAGGCACAAGAGGCCTCGGTCTTGGCGCCACAGCTTTTCGCCGCCGGTTGAGGCGTTTGAGGGGCTTTTGCTTGGTCCCAAACTCGAGGGCACGCATCGTCGCCAGAGGTGATCCTCGTCACCCTCTCCAGGGAGTCTTGGGTAGTGGCGCGCCCAGGAGTGTGCACTTTAGCTGGGGTATAATCTAGTATGGCCGCGTAACTATGCTGGTTCGAGGATTGTAGAGGGGATTGCTGTCGATTTTCTTAATCTTGCTTTTGCTTCACACTCTAAACCCCGAAGCCCTAAACCCTAAACCCTAAACCCTAACCCCCCAAAAAAAAACCCTAAACTCTAAACCCCGAAAAGATGATTCCCGGGAGGATCCAGCCTCGAGCAGTAGAGTAGTACAGCTTGTTGTCACCCCGGTACCACATGAGCCTCTGGTCGTTTGAAAGAGCTGCTTGTGCCCGCCCATGCTACAGAGAAGGTTTTTTGGGGTTTTCGATGTACTTTGAGGTTCCGTGCTTTGTTTTAGGTTTAGGGCTCGGGGTCAGCAAGACGGTGGTGGAGACTGCTGTTAAAAGTAGCAGAGGCGTGCCGCAGGCCATCAGGCCAAAGTCGTAGTGAGTGTTGGACTTAGGATTTAGGCTCCACAGATGTAAGACGCACGGTTGGTGAGAGAGAGAGAGAGATATATATATATATATATTATATCCTGTATTACCCATAATAAGGCATATGCCATAACCCCCATAGTTTGGGGCAAAACCCTAAACCTTAAACCCTGTCCTTTAAGCATCGAGCCTTTATTATGCTGTTCTCCATGCTCAAGCTGTAGATGGAAGCCCTCAGGGTCTTGGGTTTTGTTCGTGAAGGGCTCACCTCTAATCTCTGGGGTTTGGGTTGCCCTATCCATTGTTACCCTTCGACCCTTCCTGGTCTTGCCTTGGCCTTTGTCCTAGGCTGGATTTGTGGATTTGTGTGCCTGGGCTACCTCGCTTTCCGACTTGGGCTTTGGACTTTTCCTCATCCTTCTGAAGCCCCTCCGCAGAGGGTTCCTTCTCCTGAGGCATCGGCTCTTCGACTTCGGTCTTACTTGCATGCCACGGGAGACAACCGCTCCGGCCGCTGAGGTTAGTTTGGTTGTAAACTTAGGTGGTCTAGAGGTTACGGTGCGAGGCCCCTTCTCTGAGGCCACTTCCCTTCTTACCCACCTGCAGTCCTTTGAGCCCAGTGCCTCCTTTAGCCGGGTAGAGCCTGAGTCTCCCCAAGCATATCCCTTGCAGGCCTTCGGGCCCCTCACCAGAGTCGAGCCCGAGACTCCTCTGGTTGCACGTGCCTTAGGTTCCCAGGCTTCAGGCTCTTTCCTCTCCTCGACAGGCAGACGACCTTCAGGAGGTGAGCCCGAGACTCCCTCGCCCTCCCGTGCTGGAGTTGAGCTTGAGACTCCTCCTTCTTCCGCCTTGCCAGGTCTACAGGCTCCAGGCTCCTTGCCAGCTGCCCCCGCTGTTGTTTCTTCAGGCCCTGCTGTTCAGGACCACTTGCAGGCTTCGGCCACCAGCTCTCCTCTTCGTTCCGAGGTCGAGGCTAGGTTCCCTGAGTGCCCTGCATATATTCTGAGCAAGGCCAGGTATCTCACTGAGTGCGGAAATCTTTCATCTGAGCACCGGGTTCGCCGTGCTTGGCGGGCCGGACTTTGGGCCCACGAAGTTCTTTCAGGAGGCTTCCCCACGCCATCGGCATCTCAGCGTTTGTCTTTGGGCTCTCGGTTTTATCCTGTGCTTGAGGGGCCTGGGGTGCAGCCGGCCCTCTACCGATCCTACCGAGACGTGGCCCACGTCGTTGGTCCCCTCTCCTCGAGCCGGGCCGTTTTCCACGGCTTCCCTTCGGAAACTGAGTCTGAGATCTACGCGTTGGCGGCCGGGGTTCGCTGGCCTTTGGGAGCCTAGACATGGATCACATTCAGACTTTCGGCGACTCGGGGGTTACCTTCATCTACGAGCATCCTGGAGGATCAGACGATGTAGCCACCGAGGCCCATGCTATAGTGGTAATGAAGAGGGGTCATGGCTTTATGGCTGCAATCCCGGAGGACGTGATCACCCCCGGCGAGCTAGCCGCTGGTGCCCATGCCTCCATGGAGGATGTGATTGGGCCCTCTTACCGAGCAAATGTTGCTGGAGGCCTTTTGGGCGACGAGGGCATCACTGCTCAGCCGGGGGTTACCGTTCGGTGCGTCATAGTCGATTTCTCGGCCCTGGCTGTGCCTCGCTTCACTCCTCTGGTTGCTGGGATAGAGCCCGAGTTTTTAGTTGCTTTCAACCCTGCCTCCCCCGACATAGTCCCAGAACCCTCTGCCCTACTGCAGCAAGCCTTGGTCTGGGCGCAGCGGCCCGAAACCCCTCAGGAGCGTGTGGCCTTCTACTCTGCCGAAGAAGGGCCTGCAGTTCCTCCCGCCAGGGCCAGGCTCCGCTTGTCCAAAGACGATCCTCCAAGAGCAGTAGGTGGGGCTACAGGTTCCGAACAGCCACCAAGGCCAAAGCGAGTTACAACTTCGGCTCTGGCGACCCAGCTCGAAGCCCTCACGGCCTCCCTGCCCAGCATAGCTGCAAAACTAGAGGACGTTGTGTCGAAGCAGGAGGCTATGGAGAAGAAGATGTCTGCAGGCCCGACGGCCCCTTTGTCGGAGCCCCTAGGCTTAGGAGCCACCCCAAAGCAGCCCCCGCTAAGCGTGATCGGCCCCTAGCACCTCAGGCCCCACTACTCGCTGCAGCCGCAGAGGCCGAAGAGCTCGAGGGGGAGACGGGGCAGGAGGACTCCAGCCACCTTGCGCGTGCCGTGCTTGCTCAGAGTCAGGCCCTCACCGCCTTAGTGGCACAGCTGTCTTCTGCAAACTCCGACCCTTTGCTGGACCTGAGCTCTCAGGGGGCAGCCAGCACCAGGGGGGCTGCACAGCGGAACCGTCTTCAGGACGAGTTGGCCTCGGGCCGCGGGACCTTCTACTCAGCCGTTCTGGCAAACATGGCGAGACGCATGGCGCCGGCGGTCACTCACACAGTAGATCCGGCGACTTTATTGAGTCAGGGCATTTGCCTGACCCGATACCACGAACGCTTCGGCGGGTTTGGGCAGGTCAAAGACCTAGCTTTGATAGCCCACCAAGTCGCCATGGCAATGGACGCGATGCAAGCGGGAAAGATAGAACAGTGTCAGGATCACCTTGCGCTCCTGGCAGTTTCTTTGGAACAGGCCAGTCTAGACGGTGGCAGGATGGACCTGGCCTACCAGCTTACGTGGTTGGAAGAACCTCCCGCGGGGATGTTTGCAAACCGCTCGGTGACGACCCTGGGGAGGAACCGCCCCTTTGCCCCTCTCGCAAGCCAACGTTGGATGACTGTTGTTTTGGGCTACCTGCGGGAAATGGAGGTGATCCAAAATCGCCGGCAGGAGTCAGCCAGAGCAAAGGGTTCGGGAGCTGGGTCCGAGCCGTCACCCGAGGGAGAGGCCGCCAGGCCAAAGCGGCAGCCAAGACGGCCGAAGAAGGACAGCCAGACCTGAATCGAGGCTGGAGCGTCCATGTTGCTATCCCTACTGGTGAAAGCCTTGCTGCTCCACCCTATGTTCCGCCGCATTTGCGCACACGTTGCACCACGAACCAGCATGAAGGCCCTCCTGGCGCCACCTGTTTGAAGTTTCAAGGCCAGCCTGAGGCGCCATCTGCAGCCCACGTCTCCTCTTCTTTTTGCACTACGAGCACCTTTGCGAAGTTCGCGGCATCCCTGCCTCGGTGGGTTTTGCGTTCCCGCACTGGTTTTGGAGCTTACCTTGCTTCAACTTTTGCATCGCCCTCTGACCGGAGCGGCTCTGCCCCTCCTTCAGCTACGTTCCCACTGCCTTTGCCCTACTTGGGCCTCTTCCAGGGCAGTGGCCCACGGCTCTCCCGTGTTGCTTGGCGTCGCCTCTACCAACGGAGGCTGCTTTGCGTGAGCGTGCTTGCCCTTAACTACATCCATGATGGATTTCGCAGGCCCTCTCAGGAGTTGCTGTGGAGGCTTCCCAATGCCCACCAGAGGCAAGTCTACAACAGGCTTATGAAGCTCATACGTGCGTGTGACAGGCCTGGGGAGGAATACCCTCTCCCTCCAGGTCGTTCAGGCTTTGAATTTGTTGCTCGCCTCTTGGAGCTTGAGAGCTTCTCTGCTGCAGCCGGTCTGGGGGATAGGTCCAACTTTGGCTACTCTGCACTTGCTGGGTCTCAGGTGCCACAGGTCTCTCCCTCTCCTGACCTCCCCCAGCTTCATCCCTACAGGTCCCTCGATGTTTCGCGGATGAAGCTTTCAGGAAAGGGCCATTGGGACCTTGCCGCGTGGTTGGATGGCCCCCTGTGGCTTCCCTTCCAGGACCCGTCTATCCTACATCATGGTCTTGGCTTTGACCCTGCTGCTGTGCCCTCCTTTGAGTCCGAAGACAGAGAAGAGAACCTCAGGCTTTCTGTGCTGTGGAGCAGAAATGGTCTGCTTGACCTCGTGCCAGGTCCTCCGCCCTACCTTGGGAGGTGCCGCGTCTTTGGGGCTTTTAAGGCCGTTGACCGTGACCGCCAGATAGGCGACAGACGTTTGCCCAACGCATCTGAGATGCATGTGCGGGGCCCCAGCGCTCTGCTGCCTTCAGGGAGCTCTCTCCTTGCAATGGAGTTGCCGCGCCACACTCATCGCATCGTCGCCTTTATCTCTGACAGAAAGGATTTTTATCATCAGGCCAGAGTTAGCCGGGCCCGATCTGTGACGAACTGTCTGCCCTTTGACTTTTGGGGATGGGAGCTGCGAGCTGCCGGGATCCGTGAGGGCTCCAGCAGCGCCTGTGTTCCCGTTCTTGTCGACTGGGATTGCTACACTCCCTGCTTCAAGAGCCTCTTTCAGGGGGATCATTTGGGCGTTGAGTTCGCCCTCGAAGCACATTCCCAGCTCCTTTCCTACCATGGGGCCCTTAGGCCCGAGCAGGCGCTTCTGAACAGAGAGCCTCCGCCAATCGGCCATGACGCTCAGGCTCTTGTGATAGACGACTTTGTCAGTGTGAGCATCCTGCCCCGCTCTGCCGACCCTTTGAGGAGCCCAGCTGCCCACGCCCACGAGCTAGCCCAGCTGCCCACGCCCACGAGCTAGCTCAAAAAGCCTACGCTGCTGAGGCTATAGAGGGCAGCCCAGAGAAGGATGTGATAGCAGCTGACTGCTTCCAGGCTATAGGGAGCGAAGTTGACTCAAGCCCTCGGTGCCTTTCTGAGGGCATCGTGCCCTGTGGTGCCCCGTTGGGGAGGAGGATTGCTCTTGCGTCTTTGAGTCTCAGAGCAGCCTCTCTCCCTATCACTTCCTCTACCTTGGCTTCGCGGCTCTCAGGGGCGTGGGTTGCCGTGAGTCTCTATCGGAGGTGCTTTATGGTGCTTTTCTCTGACATCTTTAAAGCAGCCCAGGTTGATGTCTCCGCCAAGGCCACCCAACGAGCTTTTGCTCAGCCTAGGCGCATGGCACAGGAGCTTGTGCTGGCCAGTGTCCTTTCGGCCTTTGTGAGTTCGGACCTCTCTGCCCCTACGTTGCCTGCCGTCTTCGCCACCGACGCTTCGCTTGGGAGTGGTGCCACTTGTTCGGCCCCTGTCGAGAAGAGCTTCGCCCAGTCCCTTTGGAAGACTGCTGACCGGCGGGGAGGCTACTCTAGGCTCGATGTGGGTGCCCGTGAGCTCCTGAGGGCTGCCGGGGAGGCCCTTGAAGACGAAGATGTTGGACCCTCCTTTGAGAGCCCTCCCAAGCAGGTCCCCTTCAAGATCGATGTCTTACTTATTGGTCGGTGTTCAAAAAGCCTGGTGAAGCGGGCCCCGAACTTTGGGCTTAGGCTTGGCCCGACCATCAGTTTAAGGACCTCCGAGCACTTCGATGTCTCCTCTGTCGATTTTCAAGCTTGGCTTCATGCTGCCCTCAAGGCCCGGCATGTCCTTGGTGTCTTGGTGCTTCCCTTTTCCTCCTGGCAGGGCTCTGCGACAAAGGAGCGACCACGAGAAAATAGCATTAGCCAGCCCTCTGGTTTTAGGTCAAGGCTTGCCGCGAAGGCTGCTGCTGGTGCTCTTGTCTGTTTTCGGTTTGCTCGTGACCTCGGGGCCCCTGGCCTTGTCCTCGTCCGGCGCGGCTCTCCCCTGACAAACACACGTGCTTGGAAGGCTGTTGCTGGAGGGGTCACTCAGACCGTTGACCTTGACCTGTGCCTCTACGGCGGGGACACCTGCCGCGGTCTTGTGGGACTTGCTGCAAATCTTCAGACAAAAGGCCTTTTCCGAGCTTGCCTCTGCCGAAAAGGGAAACCTTCGCCTCAAAAGGGCCCCTGCTTCCCTCGCCCTCACTCCCCTATTGTCGAGGGTACTGAGGATCCGTTGCCGCCTGGGCTCTCCGATGAAGTTCTTAGGTCCTTCGAGGTTGCCCTCTCCTCCTCTGACAGAGGCCTCGAGCAGCCCGGCCTTGAAAGCATCGTTGCAAATGATGTTCTCATGACTGCTGCGTGGAAAGTTGACAGAGTTGTTCCTTGGAGAGGGCAGTCCCACATCAACACGCTTGAGCTGGGCACGATTGGGATCCTTGAGCGGGACCTTGCGATCCACTCACCCAGCTGCCGCTTCACTGTCCTTGTTGACAGTAATGTTGCAAAGTCCTGCTCTGCAAAAGGGAGATCCACCTCCTACGCGCTGCAGCCCGGGCTGAGCTATGGCACACCAGGTCGGCTTTGACCTGTACCCGGCCTTTGGTTTTGCCCCTACTCGCTTAAATGTTGCTGATGATCCCACTAGGCTCTGCCCTCTCCGAGAGCCTAGTCGGGTCGCCCTCCACTGTGTGCTGCCAAAGCCAGTCCTGCACAACATTGGTCGACTTCGGCTCAGGCGGCCTCTCGCATCCTGGGCCAGGCTCTTTCTTGTGCTTGTCGCCGAGAGGGTCGGCTTCTCCGAGGCCCTTTTGCACACCTTGGCTGGGCGCTTTGCTTCCGAGCTCGGCCGGTCCCCTGACCATTCTGTGCTTGACTTTGATGGGACCCTGGGTTTCCCTGGCGAGGGGCCGCCTCTAGAGGATCGTTGTTTCTCTGAGCGCCTTCAATACCTCTGCTATGGATTTGCAACCCTCCTTGCGCCTACGGCCCTGCTCTTCACTGCCTCGTGGACTTTTTGCTTCCACTTGGTCTTTTCTCCTTTGGCCTTCGGCCTTTCTTGGACTAAACTCAAGTCCTTCGTCTGCTCCCTCCGGGTTGAGCTTTTCTTCAGCCTTGTGCCCTCTTGTGATACCCTTCCCGCGTGGCTTTACTTGGACTTTGACCCTACTCTTGGGTTCCCTGGCGAGGGCTGGGTCTTTTGGTTCAGGGTGTTCGGGGTTTTAGTTGCAGCTGCCATGGCCGCCCCCGCCCCTGGAACACCTGCTGATGCCGATCGGGCTACCAGGCGTGCAGGTTTACTGCTTGAAGCTGATCGAGTCGTCCGACCTGTTACCAGGAGCAATCGTGCTAGACTTGCTGAGGCCTTTTCTCAGTGGCTCCTTGAGAGCCAGGGACGCTCACTGGAGAGCTTGCTTGCTGTTTCTTGGGAACATGTTGAACAGATTGGTGAGGCCCTCACAGCCTACGGTCAGCACCTTTTTAGGTCTGGACAAGCTTACTACAAGTTTTCTGAGACTATCAACGCAGTTGCTAGCCTCAGGCCTGCCATCAGGAGATCGCTCACCAGGCCGTGGGATTTGGCTTTTGCTTGGCTTACTGAGGAGCCGACCAACCACCACAAAGCTATGCCGAAATCTATTCTTTTGGCTGTGATGGCTGTTGCTCTCCTTTGGGGATGGCCGGTCGAAGCTGCTATCTTTGGCCTTGCCTGGACTGGATTGCTACGGATCGGTGAGGTCCTAAATGCTACAAGACGGGACTTGGTGTTACCGGACGACGCTGCCCCGGGAACGAACCATGCCCTCCTTCGCATTAGCACCCCAAAGACTCGCGGAAGAGCAGCTCGGCATCAGGCTGCTCGAGTGGATCCGTCGGATATTGTCGAGCTCCTCTCTGTCGTGTTTGGGCCTTTACCAGCTGCGGCTAAACTTTGGCCCTACTCTGATGGGGTCCTCCGCCGCCGCTTGAGGACCATCCTGGATCGCCTAGGCCTGGTAAACGGTGAGAAGCCTGCCTTCGATCTGGCCTCTTTCCGCCCTGGTGGGGCTACCTGGATGCTTGCACAGACCGAGAACGCAGAACTTGTCCGTAGACGCGGTCGCTGGCTCTCTGGTCGTGTCATGGAGATCTACCTTCAAGAAATAACGGCTGCCACATTTGTCCCTCAGCTGCCGCCGCAGGCTCGGGAGGTGATTGGAGATTTGGCTGCTGCTTTTTCGGGGGTTCTCTCTAGAGCCCTCTTCTTTGAGAAGTCTTTGCTGCCACGCAGGATTTGGTATCACTTGTTTTCAGGCCGACCGACCGCTCGAGCATGGGAAAGGTGAGTTGAGTGTTACAGTGTACTTTTGCTATGGTGTGCTGTGAGTATTATTCTGCCCTGGCATGGATAGGGTGCCTTCTCTGGAGTGGATTAGCCCTGAAGCTCCTTCTGGACTAATCGTGGTGATATAGCTTCGCTCTCTTCAGTTTTTCCCTTTCACAGAATGGGCTGTACGGCTGCTTCACACACATCTCGCAGGACGTCAGAGTGCAGCAAAAAGATGGGCGCTGATGCTTGTCCTTTAAGCATCGAGCCTTTATTATGCTGTTCTCCATGCTCAAGCTCCCACCGCTGCCCGCCCGTCGTCGGCCTTCTCTGGAGTGGATTAGCCCTGAAGCTCCTTCTGGACTAATCGTGGTGATATAGCTTCGCTCTCTTCAGTTTTTCCCTTTCACAGAATGGGCTGTACGGCTGCTTCACACACATCTCGCAGGACGTCAGAGTGCAGCAAAAAGATGGGCGCTGATGCTTAATTAATGCAGGATTTATATCGTCAACGGTAGAATATGTGAGGGCTGAGGGCTTCGAGTTTCGAGCTGCAGAGGAGCAGAGGCCATCACCAACCCTAAACCCTAAACCCGAAATCCTAAACCCTAACCCCCAAAAACCCCCCCCGACCCTCCTTGCTTTCTTGTCTTGCTCAGGTGCGATCCTGTCGGAATTTTTGCCCCAAGCTTCAGGAGCAACCGGCTGGTTCGAAGTTGCAGGGTTTAGGGTTTAGGGTTTAGGGTTTAGGGTTTGGGGGTTTAGGGTTTAGGGTTTAGGGTTTAGGGGTTTCGGGTTTAGGGTTTAGGGTTCAGGGTCTGGTGCCTAGGGTTTAGGGTTGAGGATGCGGGGGATCCCAGCTGAGCCCAAAACTCCAAAGAATCGAAGCCTTGAGCCCTAGACCGGAAGCGGTTTAGGGTTTAGGGTTTAGGGTTTAGGGTTTAGGGTTTAGGGTTTAGGGTTTAGGTTTTAGGGTATACCCGAAACCCTAAACCCTGAACCCTACATCCTTAAAATAAAAAAACAAAGATCCGAAACCCTTGAGCCCAAAGCCCCAAGCCTGGCTCAAATCCTGCCTAGAAACTGTCTACACGTGAGGCCTTGGGTTTAGGGTTTAGGATGACCGAAACCCATAAACCAAAAAGATCATGCCTACAGCACGAGCAGGACGTCCCGACCCTAAATCCCTAAAGCCCCTGAACTCCTAAACCCCTCAACCCTAAACCCACAGACCGTGATGTGGAGCCTTGGGAAAGCATGCTTGGGCTTTTGGGTGTAGAGAGATCCCGAGCCTGGGTGCTTTCGAATCTACTACAAAACAGGGTTCTGTAATCGGGTCCCTTTTAAAGGGTACTCTAGTGTTCTACAATAGGCTTCCCTTTGAAGGGTACTGTAGGGTTCTATAATAATGAGGCTCCTTTTTTAAAGGCCGCAAGGGTTTTCCCCCGTGCAGCGTTGCCGGAACCAACTAAATCCGAAAGAGCGCCAACTGTGGGTTGTTGTGGGCTTGGGGCGGAAGGCATGGACTTTGTGGTGGTTGAAATAGGGTTTAGGGTTTGGGGTTTCGGGTTTAGGGTTCAGGGTTTTCGATTCCTTCTAAACGGAAGCTCCTTAGAAGCCCTGAAGCCCCACGGCCCCAGCCCTTGATCCCAAAACCCTAAACCCAAAACCCAAAACCCTAAACCCTAAACCCTAAACCCTAAAACCCTAAACGCTGTGAAATCAGAAGACTGCGAAGGACTGCATTGACAGCCTTGGTCGGCTCCCCAAGTGAACGCATGGACGTTTTGGGCAGTTCTAAATCAGGGCCCCTGTTGGGTTCCCAAAGTATAGCCTGCGGTATCAAGAGTAGAATGATATACGGTCCCCCCCTAAACCCTAAACCCTAAACCCTAAACCCTAAACCCTAAACCCTAAACCCATGATGTTCGACGGTTACGAGTTTCAGGAAGCTTCGAGTTGTGATTCCGAGCCGGCTCTCCCGTCACCAGGGGTTTTCAGGACTGGTGCCTTGACCCGAGTCGCCTTGTGCCCTCGTCAAAACTTGAAGCCCTAAGGTTTAGGGTTTAGGGCTAGGGGTTTAGGGTTTAGGTTTAGGGTTTAGGGCTTAAGGTTCAGGGCTAGGGGTTTAGGATTTAGGGTTTAAGATCATGGGACTTAGTAAGTAAGGTTATAAGTACCTTGATGGGGGTTATGACTAATTATAACTATAGTTACCTTATGTATAACCCTACTGACTAAGTCCCATGATCCTTTAAAGTTGTGCCCTCGTCTACCCTTAAAGCCCTAAGGTTCAGGGTTTAGTGAATTTAGGGCTAGGGGTTTAGGGTTTAGGTTTAGGGCTTTGGGTTTAGGGTTAGGGGTTTAGTGGGTTTAGGGTTTAGGGTTTAGGGAATTTAGGGTAGGGTTTATGGTTTAGGTTTAGGGCTTACGGTTTAGGGTTAGGGGTTTAGTGGGTTTAGGGTTTAGGGTTTAGGGAATTTAGGGTAGGGTTTAGGGTTTAGGTTTGGGGTTTGGGGCTTTGGGTTTAGGGCTTAGGGGTTTTGGATTTAGGGGTTCAGGGTTTAGGGTGTTCAGGGTTTAGGGTTTAGGGCTAAACCCAGAGAGCCTAAACTCATGGAAGGCCTCAAGCTCCTAACCTTCGCAGCCCCTGTTTTCTACAGAGGCCCAATAGAACGCACCCAAAGCAGAATAAGCCCGAAGACGCAAAGCCAACACCATGGACCACGTTTGCAATAGATCTTCTTGAATGCTGCTTGATAGAATAAAGAACGCTCAATAACGACCACTGATACTCATGATCTACATAGGACTTCATGGAGCATAGCCTCCTTGTAAACCCATATAAATCCACATAGTCCCCTTAGAACTCCCCCTTTCTTCCCATAAACCATATACATTTGTCGTAACTCCTGTCCATAATGAGGACCCTCAACCGTAACCCCTAAACTCTAAAACCTAAACCCTGGACCCTAAACCCCAATCCCCCAGGCCTTCCCATCATCTACGCCCAGTCACAGCGAGGCCAGGCGTTGAGCCACGATGCATTCCGGGGCAAATTTCAAATCCATTCATTCTGGCAGGGTCTAGGGTTTAGGGTTTACCTTAACAACAAATAAACCTATTTGTTTAAGGATTTATGTCAAGAGATCACAACACGGATTCCAAGAAAGGTAGGTGTTCTAAGGTCCAGGTGCGGTGTAGGGTCGCAAAATCCTAAACCTTAAACCCTAAACCCTAAACCCTACCCCGACATCTTCGAAAAGACCCCGGGCAACTCGGAGCCCTTGGAGCCTGAGAGTCCCGCCTTCCGCGACAGAGTGTAAGAACCGTTTAGGGTTAGGGTTTAGGGTTTAGGGGTGAAAGTTTAGGGTTTAGGGTTTAGGGGTGAGGGTTTAGGGTTTAGGGTTTAGGGGTAAGGGTTTAGGATTTAGGGTCTAGGGTTTAGGGGTAAGGGTTTAGGGCTTAGGGTTTAGGGGTGAGGGTGTAGGGTTTAGGGTTTAGGGGTGAGGGTTTAGGGGTGAAGGTTTAGGGTTTAGGGTTTAGGGGTGAGGGTTTAGGGTTTAGGGTTTAGGGGTGAGGGTTTAGGATTTAGGGTTTAGCCCTAAACCCTAAACCCTAAACCGGTGAGGGTTTAGGGTTTAGGGTTTAGGGAACCCGGAAAGCGTCACATCTTCGGACAACTCTCCGGCCGGTAGGTTCGGCAACCCCCGAGATCCAAGCTGCATCAACCGAAAGCAACCCTCGACCCCCAAACCCCAAAACCCCAAAACCCCTGAACCCCTAAACCCTAAACCCTTAGGGTTTAGGGCTTAGGGTTAGACCAGAAACCGTTAACCCTAAATCCCAAAAGCCCTAAGCCTCCACTAGCCAAAAATCTCAACTCTCGCCGAGGCAACATCGGGCCGCGACCCAAGTCTGAAGCGGCGATATGAGAGGTTTTCTTGAGACTGTGGGTCTCTTGAACCCTGACCCTAAACCCTAAACCCTAAACCCTAAACCCTAAACCCTAAGCCCTAAACCCAAAACCCTAAACCCAAAACTTAAAATCTAAACCCGAGCCCCAAAAGGGTTCAAGTTTAGGGTTTAGGGCTTTAGGGTTTCAGGGCTTCAGATCTCGGCTAGGAAGGCTTCGGGCGCTTCAGGGGTTTTAGGGTTGGAGCTTTGTGATCTGCAGGGCGTCAGGAGTCTGGGCATGGGCATGGTGCAAACACTGAAGGACAGAAGCATGGTGAACACGTCCCTTTTTAGGTCCCCAAAGTAGTACGGCAGCCTTATTAAAGCTCACAACAAGGGACCCTAATTCGATCCATTTCCGCTACCGGAGTCCGATCTTCGCTTGGTTTTGGGCCAAAGCCTCCTAACCTCAAGCAGAAGTGTTGAGAGCATTAACCCCCAAACCCTTAACACAACTGTGTAACGCCCAGACGCCTCAAGTCATAAGCCCTGAATCCCTACCTGCTTAAATTCCGTAAACCCCAGACCCGTGAAACCCAAACTCATTACCATAGACCCTAGTCCAAACCCTCGACCTCGACCCCAAACCCGGAAAGCCCAAACCCTTAAACCCTAAACCATAAATTCCTGAACCCTAAACCCCGAACCGAAAGCCTAAACCCTAAAACCCTAAAGTCCAATGCCCCTCAGCCCGATGCGTTGCTCAGACCTCAGCCCCGGGTTCTTGTTAAGGGACTTAGTTTAAGGTACCATGACAAAGAAACCATGTGGGTGGTTGTCCAAATTATGGTCCCTTTTTGGGCCCTTATTATAATACGGCACCTATTATTTAGGGTACCCCAAAAGGGACCATAATTTTGACAAAGAAACCATATTATTTGGCTAAGGAGCTTAGTTTAAGTTACCAGAATAGGATCCATAGAAAATTATTTACTATGGGTCCCTATTATGGTAACCTACATGAAACTCCTCAATTAAACAACATTGTTTTTTGTTAATCTGATGCCCTAACAACCCCTAAACCCTAATAAACCCTAATAAACCCTAAACCCTAAACCCCTA